AAAAAAACACGTCTAAGTTAACGTAAAAAAAAGATATGGCAGTTAATGCCGCAAATAAAGCATATTTCGAAACTTTCAAGGGAATTAAAATTTAAGTATAAGATACTTCCCCTTGAAATTTTGCAAGTAACATCGTCTTATACCACAAGTACAGGGAAAAATCTGAAAACTGAATTTGCAATTAAATCGTAAAAATTTAGTCTATTTAAAGTACATAATCAATCAGGGTACGATTTCACTTGTAAAACACAATAATATAAGTAATTTTAGGTTTTTGGAAACTGCGAGGATCGATTCCTAAACTATTTATAATATGTACTTACAATGTGGCACTACCCTTGCTGGCCGAGTTCGACTCGCACTTGCCGATTTTTTTTATGAACCATACGATTGATTGATTAGAAAATAATTACATTATAATTTTATTATAAGATCTAGGTACATATAAAATTAAATTAATTAATAATAACTTTTTTTAGTAAAATATCTCGTCAAATGAAAACGTTAGATAACTCTAAAATATTGAATGTCATCAACTGCAGGCCAATATGAACTTAAATGGCAGAAATTCCTAATAGCTTAAAATAAATTGAAATAAAAAACGATTAATCCTGGTTTTTTATAAATTAGCAATATCTAACTTTTAAAAAGTAACAACGATTTTAATGCTCCTACATAATGATGAATTGTACTAAGATGTAGTCTTCATTCATTAATTTACCACCCTATTTTTATTTTATCTGTACTTTAATTCCAAATAAAAAAAGAGTTTTCCAACTAAGTTCATAAATAACGGAGTTCTGAGTTAACAAACAAAAAAAATACAAACAAATTTAATTTTTCCCTCTTTTGTGAAGTCGATCAAATAAGCCAAGATAACAAAAACCTATGGAGTTCACAGAGGTAGCCCTATTCCTCAACACATTATTATGATCCGAATGTCGTGAAGTTTAAGGAGAGGCTTGCCGCATGTGTGGTGGTTATGGCCCGCGACGAGCACAGCTGAACGGCGCGCTTCGTGCCGGGCTCGCCGCGGCAGACTGCTCGACGCCATCACGTTGTCCCACATTGCAAATGTTCGCTATAATAAAACAACGACTTTATTGTTTTAGTCTGAGCACTAAATTCCTTTGCTGTGAAGAATAAGTGTTTTTATTGCCTTTTATAGAAACGGCTATAGTGTGCGTATCATATACAATATTATACTGTGATTGTGTAAGGGCTGTCAGGTGATTAATACCAACACAGTGCTGGGCTGTATTTAAATTACATGTATGTAATGTACACTTTAATAAACATTTTCCGAAATAGACAATCTTATTTCACTAGTAGGATTAACAGTCTAAAAAGAGACTTTGCCTTCCTGCATGTGTTCTACCGCTCGTTTGCTCGGTTTTAAGCAATTCTTTATCTGCTTTTCACCTAGTGATTGAGGTTACTAAAGATCAAACCACCATCTTTATTCTGGAACTCAAAGGACTCAAAGAAAGTTGCAGCCTTTATCAGTGAATACGAGGGCTTAACTAAGGGAGGTCGAACCAGGGTCTCTGCTGCTCTATTTCATATTAACTTTGCCGAGGTAGCAGAGTACCACCGCGAATATACTCATAGTTACTCTCAGATTAAACTCTCGTCATTTTAATGTTGCTCTTTACTTACCACATTACTCGAAATTTATTCTGTGTACAAAACCTGAAAAAAGAAACCAATAAGTGTAACTACTTCACTCCTATCTATTCACTTGCAGAAGCTGTCAGGTTTGGTATAGGTTTGTTAACTTCTAATCCGGTTCTTATGTGAAATTTTATGATTTTTTCTATTAATAATCGTAGATAATTGTAATTATCTTTAAATTTAAAGAGCCTATGAAAGCTACCTATGAAATCAGAATAAAATAATGAGAGTAACAATGCACATGTGCATGTTCAATGACGTGGGTTGATTTTGAAATAATTCTAATACAATAACTAAATTTGAAAACACTACTGCAAATCAATTTTGGCTGCTGCACTTTAATTTTGTTTTCTATTACCAAAAGAAGAACAACTTGTATAAAAAAATTTAGTAATTTACATAAACTAAACGTGTTTTTGTTTTTCGGTGAGTTCAAATTATTTTGTTTATTATTTGCATATACATACGACGCAATTTTATTAATTGCACAACCTGACATGAATCATAAAACATTTTAAACGATTTAGTTTGGAAACAATATCAGCCTAACCTTATCAAAATGTTAATACCTAAGTGTAGTAATTTAATCTTCAAAACTTAGTAATTCTATTTATATTATTCCAAAATACATGTTCAGTATTACATTCAGAAATGAAATTGGTTTACACACAGAGATTATAAGTTTTAGAATACATAGATATTAAGATGAATTAGTTATTTAGATATATATTACCCCACTAAATAAGAATGCGGTTCATCAGAAACGTTCCTTCTAATTAGCTGTTTGAAACTGTATTCTACGAAAGTACACAAACCAAGAAATGAGTACACAAACTATTCCATAACGTTTTAAATATTAATTTTTAATGTTTCCAACTATTTTTCACTTTGTTTTGTATTGTCAAATTGAATACTTACTGAAAAGAAATGGGCCTGTTTATTTGGCGTGACTTTGTTTGGGCAGTCGGTATGTAAAAAGGTCTAGGCTTTTACTATGCCAACACTATTACTATAATAATAGGGGTTAAAGTATGAAATTGCCATGGTATTATAAAAGATACTTTGAATTGACATAAAACATGCATGATGTGAGATATTCTTGTGAAACTTTTTTTACATGATGCCTATAAGGTTCTTCTTTATCCGAATTCCGACGAGGCACTAACGCGGCAGAAACGGCTGGCAATATCGACGCCTCGTTTGGAGAAGAGACTGCTAATGAACGCACCGTGAATTTTTGGTTTTAACGCTTTCATAATAGAAACTTTGACTTGAAGAACGAACCACGTGGGAGACCGCCCACACAGGTGAATAACGCTGAATTGAAGAAGATGGTGGAAGCCGATCCGAGTCAAACTACCCAGGAAATAGCGGCATGGTTTACCCACGTTACCCTACCTGCAAAATAGACACACTTACATCAAATCAATAAGATAAAAAGAAAATGAAAAATGAGTATCTCATGATTTGACTGATCTGCAGAAAGAAATGCGTGTTGAAACTTGTTTCCTTGTTGAATGTTGTAACTCTCCAGGAGCTACAGTTAAAAACCATACGTCATCCTCCGTACTCGCCAGACCTTGCTCCAAAGGACTACTTATTTGTGATTTTGACAATTTTCTAGGTGATAAAAAAATTCTTCTTTGTCCCAGGCAGTACAAAATGCTTTCACACAGTTTATCGAATCTAAATCCCCACAGTTCTATCGTAAAGGCATAAATGAACTTCCGTTAAGATGGCGGCAATATACAAATAATGAGGGTAAATATTTTGATTAAATAATAAATATGTTACATCTTAGAAAAAATACGAGTTTCAATTTTAAGTACAATTTGGCTATTTTATACTTTAACCCCTAATATCATATCTTACTTCATTTATAAAAACTTTATGAGTTTGTTTCTTACAAAGATGTAAAATGGAGTAACGTTTAATTTGTGAAAGGTTCTATTTATAAAATTTTATAAACAAGATTTACTGAAAATCATATTCAGCCACTATACTATTAGTCAGTAGTAGTATAATCATCCGTATTAGCCTGATCTATAGCGTAAAGCTAGAGATTAATGCGGAATTTATCACACAAATTCTGTGAAATCAATTATTGTCATTACCAAAGAGTGGTGATACTCCCCCAGGCCACTCGCACTAAGTTAGCAGTAAGTAGATAAAGTCCTTTAGAAACATTACAGTATTTTATTAAATATGTCTTGTTCTGTATACATCATATAAATAATAAGCGTAATATATGTATAACAATATGCAATATAAATACTTATCAGGTTATTTAAAAAAACTTAGCGAGATCAATGACAACGCCGTAATCGAATGAATGAAGAATGATTGTCATGCTTTAGAATAAGTTAAAACAACACGTTTATATATATATATAAAAGGATGATAAAACATATATGTGTATGTGATTGCACTTTTTTAAATTTAATGTTATAGTTGCTTTTAAAAGTTGTAACTAGATTCAGCAAGAGACCAAAATGTGGCTAGATCCAAATTTTACTTAATATTGCTCCATTGATAAATTGTTCAACGTAGGTTGACTTCAGCAATCATCGCTCTTAAAAAGCATATACCTACCTTTGGTCGGATGCTTTACTATAATAGACCAAATTTTACCATTATTTTTCTTACAGTTATCTTTATCCATTAGGCTAGCAATTATAAGTTTGTGCAAAAATACAGTATCTACTTACTTGTCAAAAGTAAATAGTTGTTCAAACTATGTGAAGGGTAAATTGTAAGTAAAATACGGTCTTTACAATAGATACGACTACTTAACATAAAGTTAGTTATAATCACTTAGTTTAAAGTGAGAAATGATTCTCTTTAAAAAATCAGATAGGAAACGATGAATAATAAGATAGTGTTACTCTACAAAAAACTCAATTCCCTACAACATTTTTCAAAACAAGTCCAAGAATATAATGGGGATTACATCAGGTAAACAGGAGGTACCGAGCGATGGCGCCATCGGCGCTACCTGTTTGTAATTTGTATGGACGGACTTTACGGACCTTCAATGAATTAAAATACGATTTAATAAACAATCCTCTTTATTTCTTTAATAATAATAGAAGTTATAATATTTAACTTTATAAATGTAGGTAAGCTTCATAAACCCCACATATAAAAATACATCTTAAAATATTATAGGTACACAAAATATCTGTCATCGGTGGATGACGGCATAATGCACTATGGCGGCGTGAACATTAAGGCACGATGAAGGAGGGCTACGCCCCAGGCGGCGCCACGCGGGCGTCGGCGACTAGATCACAGGAGATGCGGGGAAAGACCCCGAAGGCATGCTCTCATCTGAGCGGGGCCGGAAACGAAGGCATGGTAGAGCACCAGCGCGATACTGAGCATGCAGTAAGCGCGCACCCTGCCGCACTCTGGACCGGCACGAATGCTGACACATGTACACCATTCGTCACAGGTAGCGAAGCTACTGCTGGTCTTTTCTCCTCCTCGTCCTCGAGGAGGTATGGCCGGAATAATTTAAAAGGTTTGCGTGGTGGATCTGGAATGGTTGCAGGCGCATATGCAGGCTGCGGTACAGGTGGCGGTGTAGGACGACGAACAGACAGGTCGATCGGCTCGGTGACTGGCATCGTCACAGGAACCGGCACTGGTAACGGCGTAGGCACTTGAACAGGCGTGGGTACCATTGCTGGCGGAGGTGTAGGTAAACGGGCGCTCTCTGGTGATCCCGCAGAGTATGGAGGAGGTGACGGGGCCGGCTGAGGCGCCCGCCTTAGGAGTGCTGCTCGTAAAGCAGGTTCAGCTTGAAGCCACTTCTGGATTTGACGCCGATGGATACCAAACTTTCTGGCTGTAGCACGTTGATTTCCGCGACATTGCGCGTCGCGCCTGTATGCTTCGAGAACTTGCAGTTTAAATTGTGGTGGGAAGATACGGCGGGAACCAGCGCGGCCCTCTGAGCGACGGTCTGAGGGCGCGGGGGCCGGGTGCGTGTGGGCGGCGGCCATTGTGAGCGAAATACGTGTACGCGTGGCGGTTGTCGGCGCCGAACTGACTGACTGTGCCTGCTCTCTCGCCGCGGCACGTCGCGGATGTTGGTGGCGCGCCGCTGCCTGTCCGTCGTGCGTGAGTGTGCGACGTGAGTCTCGTATACATGTAAAGGCAATTCCACATTGTGACCCTCTTTGTAGTCTTAAGAAAACTGTAGAAAACGTATTAATCGAAATATTTAAAATAACTATTAGCTAATATAATAGTTGTGATTTGCTATTTAAATGAATTGAACAGAAATGAAAAAAAAACCTTTTGGCAAGGGACCCAGTATAAATATATGGTAAGCATTGTTTTACACGTTTATAGAGTAAAAGTTACTTTAATGTTATTTACTATGTATTTTAAAACTAAGTTATAGCATGAGTTTGTTGTCATCACTTATTTTGGTTATTCAAAGATGATTTTGGTCTCTTAGTAATAATTACAAGTCCTATAACTTAATTTTTGCAATGAATCTTCGTTTTCACCCAAAGAAGATAAATCTAACTGCTAATAATGCCGGGGTGATTAAGAAAATCTGAGGAGACTCCACTTTTTTCATTTTCATTATTTAGGGTTTACTGAAGTGAAACTTCTTTGGAATCGTTGTGATTTGAAACTCGATGAAACGAAAATGAGTCACGATAAAGACAGAACACAAAAAGGAGAGAATGAGATAGACATTATTTTTAATATAATATTTTGTCAGTGTAAATGTTTATATCTTTTTATTTAATACTAATAAAACGAATTTTAAAAACGCTGCCTTAGTGGGTTTGATTCCCGGGCCGTGCAAAATTTTATAGGGTTTTTTCTGAGATAAAAAAAGGGAAAAATTCGGAAGTTACACTTCTGCCATGTGTGAATTGCACACACACACACTTTTTTTTGTAATTTATATCAGATGTTTGATTCCGTAGACTGCAACATTATCATCAACCAAAGAAGTTTCAAGTAAGATTAAACATAGATTATTATGCGTGATCATTTTTACTATAGGTACTAGGTAGTTCAATTTTTTGTTTTACCCTGTTCTCTATAAACCATTAATATTATAACGATGACATTCATTTATATAACATAGATATATTATAAATGTCTTTGTCAGTAGCCTAATGACTTTAAATATTAAAATTAAATGAGCTACTACTAGTGTTCCTCATCATAGTTCTTATTTAAACAAGTTTGTTTTAATATGTTTCAACATTAGACAACTTATGGCTGATAGTCACCGTATGTTAAATTTTAAAATAAAGTGCGAATTTTGAAGAGCGTGTGTGCACGGTACTTTATTCAGTAATCTCGCCTCATTCTCGGCGTGAAAAAATGCCGCAAGTGGGAGCCGATAGCACGTAGCGCCACTATTTCTATCTCCTTCAGCCACATCGTGTTGTTCATTACAGAACGAGATAGACAAACGTGCCCTGCCCGGTCGCTGCCACATCCGTTTACGAAACAAGTTTGCATGCGACGTTGCCAGACCTTGCGCGCGGGCGGTCGAGGGGTACGGGCGGATAGGAATGCGCACGGAACGGCAGCGGCGCCGACCGTGGCAGACAGGGTGTCGCCGACTCGCCGCCGTAGACAGGCCGTCGCTCGACGGCGCTAGGCCCCCTTACACCCGCGCGCACCCGCTCCACCCGCAACGCACATCAACAAGTTATTTCGGCCCAGCCTGTGGCATAGTCATAAGATCTCAAGTAACATAGTTAAAACGGGCTGTTACGACGTTTTTGATTACGTTACAAACTTAGCGCCATCGCTGTTTCGAGGAAAGTTGTTTTTTTGTTGATCGGCCGCCTGCTGCGCCTGCCTCGCTCGCGTCCGGCGACCGTGAAAACAGCGATACTACTCAAAAAAGGAAGCACTAGGTTTTTGAGAATTATTCATGATATATTTTGATGTACCTTATATTTTTTACGCTTTTAAAAATTATTATAAACATTATTAAGTTTTAACACGAACAAAAAAAACGTGTAAGTGTACACCGTACTGTTAATAGTCTGTAGACTTCGGCATATGTAAATATAGTGTAAATGTATCTGTCTTCTGTTACCTACTTTTTTATTATGGAAAAATAAAATAGTTAGGAAGTACATGAGCAGGCACTTTAATACTATTCCTGTGCATTACCTTGTCTACATATTTTTAACGTGATTAGAAGAATACCTGTGACATTAGTATGACTTTATAATGTTTTATCATGATTTATCAACGATAGGTAGATACGTAAACTGTGATACCATTTTTGTTATCATTTCTTATACGTAGATAGATACCCAACTACATTTTGAAATTGTAAATTCTTTAATAACACTGAAGTAACTTTCTGAAATCTGAAAAAAAAAGAGTAAGTAGCCTTGAGTTAACAATATTTTGAGATATTATCTACATAGATCTAGGTAGGTAGATAGGTAGTATGGTGGAGTTCTAAATGTATTAAATGCCAAAAGTAGGTCAGCTTACAGTTCACATCTAGAATCTAAACTTAATTGTTAAGTTCTACATAAATCGCATTGGATCATCTTCTTTTAACATTTTTATGACAAATAAAAATTTAAAGCCTATTTTATTAATAGTGACTGATTTAGTGTCGGTAGGTATTTCCTGTGAGTTTTAATAGCACTTATAGTTGTGCTCATATCTTAACAACATAAACAGGGAAAGTAAGCCATCTGGGAATTCCGCATTTTTTTTATAATTTAGAAATATATCATTTGGCATTGTTTGATGAACTTTTAATAGTTCAACTTAACTTTGTAAGCGAAGGGAACTACGTGGCCTGGGATAGGTACTTCTTCATAAAGGTATTCGATACTCAATGCATTATAGCAGAGATCATCGCCATCTTCCTAATTTCAATATTTTATTTTTGATTTTGGATTCAGCAATAGCTAGTCTTGGGCATATAATGGTTTTTAAATGATATAAGGAGAGATGGTAAATAGGTAAATAGAGAGTAAGTGAAACGTATAAAGTAAGGGGGTTAGAGTAAAGAATACGGTATGTATTAAGAGATATTAGAAATGGGACCGGGATGCGTACCTACTCATCTGTCTGTTGATACTAGAGGTCACTGGGCCGTCAACTGGCGTTACATCTATACTAATATTATAAAGCTGAAGAGTTTGTTTGTTTGTTTGTTTGTTTGTTTGTTTGAACGCGCTAATCTCAGGAACTACTGGTCCGATTTGAAAAACTATTTCAGTGTTAGATAGCCCATTTATCGAGGAAGGCTATAGGCTATATATCATCACGCTAAGACCAATAGGAGCGGAGCACCAATGAAGAATGCTTCAAAAACGGAGAAAATTTATTACTATTGAGACGCAGACTAAGCTGCGCGGGTCAGCTAGTTAAAGATATAATTATGGCATTAAGTCCGCCATTGTACAAAGACTTGTTGTTTGTGCAAAAAGAATTAAATAAATAAATAAATATATTTATGTAGGTAGTGTATGTATAATTTTTATAAATTTCTTTTTGTAGACCTACTCATTTGTAATTGAATACAAACTTACTCATGTAATTGGTACATGTTTATGACACGTGAACTAGCATTGTTCAATATGACCATGTTTTTCTGTCTTCACTTTTTAATTACATAAACTAGGTATAACTTAGAACACCAGTTTTCAAATATGCGTTTCTTTATGAAGTCCTGGTAATCGTGTCTTACTACGAGTATCCTCAACTTTATGCAACAGGTATTAACCTAGATCTTTTTTAGGGTGGATTAGATCCACCCCACGTCCCGAGAGGTTCTAATCTCATGAAATACATTTTTTGTGGTGCACACATTCACGCATAAACTGAATCCATAATAATAAAAAGCCCAAATCCATACAATCCATACTAATACTATAAATGTGAAAGTGTGTTTGTCTGTCTTTCTTTCTGCCTGTCTGTCTTTCTGTCACCTCTTCACACTTAAACCGCTGAACCGATTTAGATGAAATTTTATTTAGAGACAGTCGGTGTCCCGTAAGAACATAGGGTAGTTTTTATCCCACAAATGATACTTTAAGTTGGTGAAAGTTTGTATGGGGAATCAAGAACCGCTGAACCGATTTAGATGAAGTTTGGTATTTGATATGTCATTTGTTTATCCTTTGTGGCGTCCTTTTAAAAATTGCGTCTTTATCACTGTGAATTTCACTCGTGAAAATTTTCGTGCTATGATTTATTACGGTTTTCGGCGAAGGCTAACTCAAAAACTTCTCTCAAACTCACACTCAAAAACAACTTACTTCGACTTTTGGGGACGAAGCACCATCAAAAACAACTGTGTATCACTGGTAAAAAAGTTGCAAAAGTACAATCAGGGTGCGTCAAAAGCTGTCTATAATATCTACACATTTGACGCACCTTGGATATATGCGTATGATCCTGAAACTAAACAACAATCAACAGTTTGGGTGTTCCAAGATGAGCCGAACCCAACAAAAGTCATTCGTTCAAAAAGCACTTTGAAGCAAATAGTCGCTTGTTTTTTGATATAAATGGACATGGAGCTACAGTGCCACTAGAGGATCGTAAAACGGTTAATTTTGGATGATACAAGACAATTTGTTTGCCAGAAGTCTTTGAAGAAATAAGAAAGAATAACCGATTACGCAGGATCCTTCTTCATCATCCCATACATCGGTCGAAACCACTCAGTATTTGGCAGATCAAAAGATCGAATTAACGGGTCATCCGGCGTACAGCCCCGACTTGGCCCCAATGACTTCTATTTATTCCCAACTGTGAAGAATAAATTACGTGTTCAAAGTTTTTCAAGCCGTGAAGATGCGTTCAAAATTCACGTTTTGGAGATACAACAATCAGAATGGAAAAAATGCTACAAAAATTGGTTCCAACGTATGCAAAAGTGCATCGATTATCACGGTGAATATTTTGAAAAGCAATAAAACTATAATAAATATGTTTGTTTCACTTTGTTATTCCGGGTACATAAATAGCAGTCGTCGTATATCGTACTTTTGAATGTTTTTTATAAAGAGCTAGATGGATTACAGGCATTCTATAACTTTATTTCCGATGGACTAACCGAACCGGAAATAATAATTATGTACGAGAAAAGTATTTATTTATTTATTGGAAACTTAACAGCTATGTTACATACCTATATCATATGTGAAGTTAAACATTTTTTTGACTCTTAGCCAATAATAAAGTTTCGCGACAAGTAAAAGAAAATTGCGTATTTACAATACCATGTCTTTCAATTTTTAGATTGAGGAAGAATTAAGTATATACTACAGATTTGCAAAAATAGTGTACTTTGTCTAATATTAATTTAAAACTATAAAAATTGTGTGCTGTGTGCCTAATGTGCTGCCTATTTATCAATTCCTAGATGTTCTAATATTGTGCATATATATGACTGATAAAGTTTTTTTTTCTCATTCTAATATATTCTTCTCTCTCTCGCTTTCAGTATTTTCTCTCTCTCTTTTTTTTTAAGTTATGCCATTCAGGATCATGTACAATATACGCAATCAAAAATCTGGCAAACCAAATTTTTTTAATGAATAATTATGTCATACTACCTTTTGCCCACGGCTCCGCCCACATGTGTGTCTTTAATCGCGAAAAACAGTATCCTATGTCTTTCCTCAAGAATCAAACTATCTCCATACCAAATTTCATCCAAATCGGTTCAGCGGTTATTGATTCCCCATACAAACAGCCACCCCTCTTTTCACCCACTTATACGATGACTCTTGAATAAAAACTATGACCTGTCTTTTCAAGGGACTCCAACTATCTCTATACGGAATGTCATCTAAATCAGTTCAACGGTTTAAGCGTGAAGAGGTAACAGATAGACGGACAGACACACTTTCGCATTTATAATATTAGTAAAGAATTAAAAAAATGCTACCGAAAGACCCCAATGTATAAATTAACCACTGTATGAATATAACTGTCAATACATTGATTATTATGGACTCAACAAAAATACCGTTATGTTGTAAGTCGTTTAGAATTCAACTAAACATCTGACAACATTTAGTTGCTATAATTACAGTGAATATGTTATTATTCTTTCAATTTATTCAAACTCCAAGCGTAGTAACTATCTACCGAAGAAGCAAAATGTATTAGTTATACTGTCATCTTTTAGTAATTTGTGTGTGGGTGGTTTTAGGTAATTCTCTCAGCCAGAGTGCAACGACGTTTTGCTATCATAAAAAGAACAGTAAGCAAAAAGTTGACGGGTATGAGTTCCATATTTGAAAACTTGTTTTGGTTGATCTCATAATAATAAGTACCTACCTACCAATCAGAGGAGGTAGGTACATATTCAATATTATGATTACAGCTTAGTAAAAGATAAAAGTAGAAAGCGGTAAACCAGTTAGCTCTGTAAGAACTAATCTAACATTCCATAGAACGACTAACGAACGACTAACACTAAATTAGTGTTGCCACTTTCTGGTTAATTAATTCACACATTTACGAACGACCTTCGAAAATTCAAATAAGTAATGGAAAAGTATTACTTGCTCAGGCGAAGTAGTATGAAAAGAGCACCCTGTTGTTAGTTTATCTGCTTTCTTTTTGTAATTATTACTTGCCTTGCAGATCCTGTGGCTGCGTTTGAATGACTACCTACCTTTTAGAACTTTTTATGATACATGTGAGACGCTAGGAGAATGGTCTGCTCAGAATAAAACCGACCAAGTACTGAAATAGTGAT